GCTTCGCGGTTGGAACGACTTATCCGGCCAGCTAAGTGTTAGGCTGCGTTCAACATGACCTGAGGACGTACAGCGTATCGGTCCTTAAATGACACAGACGGAGTCACTATGTCCAACCCTACACAAGACTTCGTCCGGTCTTCATTCATTAATAACATGGTTCTTTTCCATGATAGCAAATATAGCCAACCGTGATCCACCTCATCCTAAAGCTCGCAGGTGACAGGAAATCACCCGACTTCTACCGCACTAAGCATGGCTAAGCATTTACCCCGTTCCTGAACTTAAATAGGATTCAAGTGCGATATCTGGACAAGGATAGATATATAATGTAGCAATTGGTTCCAACCAATTCCTATACTTAATGCAGCATCAACAATAAAAGATACTCAATATATTTGTAAAGACATGGGAGACTTATAATGCTCCGGGGCTTGCCTTTCAGGAAAGAGGATGGACGGTGGTCAGGGCACTCGGGCAACTCCTCCTCGACGGCTGCTTCTTCGATTGCCTGAACCTCGGGCTCCTCCTCCTGGCTCGCTCCCTCGAACTCCAGAAGCGTCACTCCCTCCGGCACACCTATTGCATGTATGCGTAAGATAATTATCATGGATGCACATGAACGAAGTTAGGGATGCTCGGGGAATGCACATGCTTACTGCAGTCCGCATATTCTAACTTAATCTCTATTCAAATCACTTTAACTTACCAAGTTCATACAACCTAATGTACAATTGCTCATCTTCAGTTAAGGACCTAGCACCTGCACCTAAGCATGTTCTCAAGTTAGGCTAGCACCTAAACAATAAACAACAACATTGCAACAAAGCATACACACTAACATTCGTATTTCAGCAAAACAAGGACTATACAGCGGTACGGTAAACTGATCATAACTGAAGATCTACAAATCAAAATGACAGGAAACAAGACAATTTGGAAAGCTTATGAAATTGCCTACAATTCATTTTCAGACTTCAAAGCATGATTCCAACCTTTACCAGGTCGGATTTACATGACCACATAATCAGGTCCAAACAAGACAGAGAGCAAGCAAAACTGTGATCCAACTTTGAACGACTGTAACTCTTAAACTACTGGGCCAAATGCCACCAACTTTTAACAGGAGCTATATACATAAGTTATCTACAACTTTTGTATTCATCACTTTCCCAGCAAACCAAATTATCATGGTGAACTTTGCGAAGTTCCCAGAACTATCCAGAAAGACATAATGCAAAAAAATAATTATTAACTTATGTGGCAAACATATAAAGGGATAAAACCAACTTTACTAACTCATCAAACATATCAAAAGAACACCAGAAAGTAAAGTGTTCACCACCAATTCATTTCTTTTAATTCCTTTCTTAATTTATTTAATTATTTAAGAGGAATAATAAACATATATGAAAACTGCAGCATTTAATCTACAAAAATTACAGTAGGTACTACATGCTCTAAGTAGGCTACTGTAAAAATTTAACATTATTTGAACAAGTCTAACATCCTACATAAAAATGACAAGGCATAAAGGCTTGAAATAACATAAATAGGAAACCCTAGTGAAAAGTGTCAAACAACATAAACAATATTTTTCTTAACATCCTTATGGTACCAGGACAACCTCCAATAAATTTCATGAGCATTGGCTTCATATATTAATTATTAAAATTCACACAAGGATCACCTAATTATAAAATGGAAATTAATAACTCAACAACTATTCATGCAATGACTCTCAAATTTTTACCAGAGCTTCTACTCATCAATAATAGCTCACCATACAATTTTCATAATTTTTGGAGCACTGGAACTCTAGATATAAATTAAACAAGTTTGCATTCATTTAAAAACACATTTCAAGTTTCAATTTAATTCTTCCAGAAAATCTACTACAAGTGCTCATATTATATTTTTACTAAATACTACACTTCACCAAGATCCTAACAAAATTTGAACCACCCAATTTGGATCTACCAAACTCCAGTTATAACTTTTATAAAACAGCATCAAAATTTGCATTTAAATCAACAAAACCTAAACATGGTTCACTGATGCGCGGGACCCGCGGGGTCAACGGTCCCACCGGTCAGAGACAGCAGAACAGGGGAGCGACGGTTGACCCGCGTTTACTCGATGGCGGCGGGGATTCAGGCGAGGCCGAGGGCACCGGCTTGCTCGCCTAGACGAGCCGCACCTAACTACGCTCTTCCCTCAACCTCTACCGAACTCTAGCAAGGACGGCGGCGGGCATGGCGGACGGCGGCGGAATCCAACGGTGCTCCGGCAAGGTCCGGCCATGTAGGGCGTGGCTAAGCTCAATACGAGTTTCTATGGCTCGTGAGGAAGCTACGGGAAGGAATAAAGGGACGTGAGAGGGCTCCGGTGGTGGTCGGCCACGGCGAGCTCCAACTCCGGCGAGACCCGGTCATGGCGAATGGCGGCGGAAGTGGCCAATCGGCCCTCACCTAAGCTCGATTGACGCTGCAAGTTGGCGGAGATGGTGGAGCTAAGCAAGTCGGAGCTTCTGAGCATGCTGGCTCAGACGATGGCGGGGCTGCGGTGGTGCACGAGCTCGGCTGAGCAATGGCGACGGTGGCGGCTTTGTGTTCTCAGTGCCTCGGACGTGCGCGAGAGTGAGAGAGCGACTGAGAGCGAGTGAGAGGGCAGACGGACGCGGCCTCCTTGCTGTCGACCGCGGCCAGCGACGCCAGGCCGGTCACGGCGCGTGCCGGCCACGCGGCGGCAGCGGCCTGTGGCCGGTCGGCCACTGTGCCGATTCAGAAATTTCGATTCAGCGAAGCCAACCGAGCCTGACAGCGCACTTTCATCGCGTTGAAACTACTAAACCATTGATTATTAGTGAAAACAGTCTAAATGAAAGTTGTAGCCATTCATACCATATTCAACTTCTATTAAAAGACCAAGACCTAATTCTTAACCGATACAGAGTAAAATCACGCAAAAGTTGAGTACATGAAACTGAAATTTGATTTGTGACTAGAAATTTTTCAGTCTCCAAATAGACCTCAAAACTGACTTGTGGGCCCTTTTTGAGCATGTTCTGCACATTTTCATGAAATGGTCATAAAATAACTTTTGTTCCTTATAAAATTTTCTACAACTTTGTTTTAGGTTGCTCAAACATGCAAATACTCTAAGCTGTACTTTTTAAACAGTCAAACACAAGAGCTCTAGGGATCAACACAAGTCAAACTATTACTAGAAAGCATAATTAGATAATATGGTCAACATGAACATTGTTCCTAATGACATTCTAAGTGTAGCTAAGTTGTTTAAGAGAACATTTTACATGCATTTTCATAGACCACACATGAGCACACACAAATGCTAGCATAAAACCAAGTAATTCAAATAGAGACACACCTGAAATGATAACATTCATCATGGTATGATGCTTATGAATGAATGAATGATGCTCATGTTTATGAAATGCAAGTGTAAATGTGGAAGTCAAACACCTGGGGTGTTACATATGGCTCCTGGAGATCGACGTGCTGCTCTCCTTGCTTCTTCTCCAATACCCAATCTGATTTAAAATATTTGCAAATTGTGCCAAATTTATTTGGCCAAATCTAAACTTTTTCGTTAAAATACAATATAAATGTCTTATTAAATCAGGGGTAAAATCATAAAATAGTATTAGCAACTAGGGACAAAATTACATGGGCATATTTGTGTATTTGTATAAAAGTTAACACTGTTAGTGAAGAATGATAGGGCAAAGTGGTGCTTCATTTTAAAAACATTGGGGTAATTCACAAAGTTAAAAAACACATAGGCAAAACTACAGTGTCTGTGCAAAACAGGGGTAAGAATGTATGAGCCCCTAAATTTTTCGTATTGCCCCTGCAAGGTTTAATCACACATTTACAGTCATGGAAGCAAACAGTTTCATTTCTTTTGCAGTGTACACCAATCTTGATGCATGAAAATGTTTTTACGGTCAGGATAGATCTGATAGCCGCACTTAGGGCTCGTTCGGTTATCACATATTTGTCTCATGGGACAATTCCTAGCCGGATTGCTTCTCTAACTTATATAAGCTTTCATCATCTGGAACAATTCCTGGGGCAATCCAGACTAACCGAACAGGGCCTTAGGGCGTGTTTGATTGAAACCTGGGTAGAAGATGTCTGGCCTGTAGTGTGACTGGATGCTGCCTGTGCGGTATTTGGAGCAGCCCTGGTGAGCTGCCTGTCCCAGGCATCAGCCCCTAGGCCGGTCGCCTGGGATGCAGCTGCTGGCTTGCCTGGACTAATCACCCGTCTAATCACTTGTTGCCTTATTTACTACTATTCTTTGTATTAGCTGGTACTGTATACATGAAATTCCACGAAAAAAACATATACCAATAAACCTGAACTAATCAAGTCCAGATTGTGTTTTTTTAAAACATATTACGTTCTTCTTTTCAGTTCTCTACCAATAAACCTGTACTAGCGTCGTGTATATAGTGTAATTATAATTATTTTTTATTCCTCGTATGTCTTTCCTTGTGATATTTTTTAAATAGCTAGAAAAACTATTAAATTTATTTGTAATTTCAAATATATTGTTAATTGATAAAATATGTGGATAGTTTTATTTATTTATTGTTTGTATATTCTAACAGAACCGTATATGTTTTAAAATGGTATTATATCTTTTATTAGCATTTCATGTACAGGCTTCCAACCAAACACAACATCTTCTACCTTGTATGGCAACTTTCAGGCGATACTTTTTGCTGGGGAAGTACTCCAGGCTTCATCCAAACGTGCCCTTACAGGCGGAAAATCCACTCATCCGATCCGAACTGGCGGAACTGACATGCAACCCACCTTCATTTTCGGTCCAGTCTTGCTGAAGAAGGAAGCGGGAGCAAGCCCAGTATAAATTTTTGCCGCCTCGAAGGTCCCTTTGGAAGTTTGAACAAGCCCAAAAGCAGCCAGCGCACCGCCCCTTCGTCCCCGCCCATCGCTGCGAGTGGGCTCATGTCGTCGACTGCTGCGGCGCACCAGAAGGCGGCGGCGCCTGAGCACGGGCCCTTCCCCATCGAACAGCTACAGGTCCGGCCCCTCCGCGCTCCAATCTCTCTCTCTCCCCCCACCCCGCCACACACACCCCCCGCTAGCAGCTCGTGGCCCGATCCTTCCAAGAACCGCTCCAATTCGAGGGCTTGATCGACGATTTGGTGCGTTCGGAGGGGGTGCGGCGTGGTGGTTTATCCCAATTTGGGCGAATATCGTACGGGAGTTCTGGGGGGGCCTCCCAGTCCCCGTTTTCTTCGTTTATTTTCTCCTCGCGAACTCCAAAAATGTTTAGCGATGAAAGTTCTTTAATTAGTTTTGTTAACTGACTCAGAGTCTATTTGTAGTGTATCGATCATGAGCGTCTCTGCTGGTTTAATTGTGGAGCATAATGTACCATTGAGCAATGGTCAGTTCTTTGAGATCTGAAGGATATTATTTTGCCTTGTAGAATTGAATGCAGAAATTAGGTACACGTGCTACATTATTGAACTGTTATGGTCAAATAGACTTACCATTGCAGTGCACAAATGCAAAAGATATCCATAGTTTATTTAAAATATGCTTTCTTTGGTTCAGCAACGTCCACTACCTTCCTTTGCAGAATTCGTTCAGGCTTCCGTGAACTGTTGACTAGGATGTAATGTGTTATCTCAGTGGGAATTGGGGGATTTTTCTTGTTAGGAAAAAAGAAAGACAGGTGTTGACCTGAACCATCACTTGAATTCCTGTAAAATTTGCTGTGTAGGCATCTGGAATAGCTGCACTTGATGTGAAAAAACTCAAAGATGCTGGTCTCTGCACAGTGGAATCTGTAGCATACTCTCCGAGGAAAGACCTTTTGCAAATTAAAGGGATTAGTGAAGCCAAAGTCGACAAGATAATTGAAGCAGGCAAGTAATTATTTGCTTCTTTTTAGAGCACACTACCACATTTCTATTTGTATGAAAATAAATTTGCGCGTGAATCATTAAGTTCATAAACATCTGGCAGCTTCCAAATTGGTTCCACTCGGATTTACTAGTGCTAGCCAACTTCATGCTCAGAGGCTTGAGATCATCCAGCTTACAACTGGATCCAGAGAGCTTGATCAAATTTTAGACGGTAATGTATTGGTGCCTATTGTTGACCTTTAACTTCCTTAATTAATGTCATAATTGTGGTATAGGAATAATAGCAAAACAGTGTAACTTGTGTTTTCAATCTTTAACAGGTGGAATAGAAACAGGATCTATAACAGAGATCTATGGTGAATTTCGCTCCGGGAAGACTCAGTTGTGCCACACTCTCTGTGTCACATGTCAGGTATTGGACTGAAAGACTAATTCTAAGATATGATACCACATTGCCACAAACAGTACCAGCATGATTTCTAGAATGACATACTTAAATAATCTATTTCTTTGCATGTTGGAACTGTTTACATATTTCCAGCTGTTTGGCAAATGGAAATATCCAGTTCTGATGTGATTGTTTTTGAGCTTACAAATGTGGTGGTGATTTATGCAGCTCCCATTGGACCAAGGTGGTGGTGAGGGAAAGGCTTTGTATATTGATGCAGAGGGTACATTCAGGCCTCAAAGACTTCTCCAGATAGCAGATAGGTGATACGGCACTACAAATTATTACTTAGTTACTACTATTATTCTTGAATTGTCAAACAAGATTCTTTTGCATTCAGGTTTGGCTTGAATGGTGCTGATGTACTAGAGAATGTGGCTTATGCCAGAGCATATAACACTGATCATCAATCAAGACTTTTGCTAGAAGCAGCTTCCATGATGGTAGAGACCAGGTGAGCTCGTTCATTTGTTGTAGTTAGCTTCTATCTGAACTAGTGAGTTATAGGATCTATCAGTTAGAAAAGGAGAAAATTGCTAAAAACATAGTACCTGAAATTAAGGAAGTATGTAACTCCACTTACCTCCTAGTATCACTTGGTGTTTGGAAGGTGCTGTAATAATAAAGTAGGAACAAATGCTCACTAAGTGGCTATCAACAATTAAAGAAATTTCAGTTATGATCCCCATGGGCAAAGGCAAAGGATACTAAGCTGTGATCCCCAAACTGCATTACATTCAGAAGCATATTGGAGTCTGGCCGTCGATGATATGTTCATGTACATGCATCATTTGTGCTTTGCTGATAAATTTTAATAGAGTATCAGATGCTCTTTTTCTTACTAAGGCCTTTTAGCCTTTCATGATTAGGATATGACATAGGCACATTAATGTTGCATTAGAGAAGACCTATGTGCTATTCAAACTGATCTCTTACAGAACAGATTTGTTACAATTGCTTTAGATAGGAGGATCCTAGTCATGTAGCCCAATGTGAAAGCATTTTTGTATGATAATGTTGACGTAGCAAGTAACAAGGCATGTATCAGGTTTCTACATCTTGTCATAAAGACACTTTGATCCTGAATTGCTAATGCCTTTGTTATTTCACAATCTAGAAAATTCGAACTCCATTTTCTTTTGCCAAGCATATGCTCATAATCTTGGTTTATCATGTTTCCCATGCCAATTTTTTTGAAGCGGAGCTCTATGTCTGCAGGTTTGCTCTTATGGTTGTAGATAGTGCTACAGCCCTATACAGAACTGATTTCTCTGGTAGAGGGGAGCTATCAGCAAGGCAGATGCATCTGGCTAAGTTTCTTAGGAGCCTTCAGAAGTTAGCAGATGTGGTAATCAGCTTGTCCTTTGATCACTCATGAATTATGAAATGTTAGATATATTGCAATACATACGTTTGGTCGTCGTGCAAACATTATTGCTATCAAATTACCGGACAACTATTGATTCTGCTGCAAGCTGTTTGATTAGTTAACCAAGTGTAGCAACAACACATTGAGTCTCATGCCTATTTTGTGCACATAGTATTTTTATTGTTTTTGGTCCTTTTTTTTGGCTGTCTCTAGTTTGGAGTGGCAGTGGTAATAACGAACCAAGTAGTGGCTCAAGTGGATGGTGCTGCAATGTTTGCTGGGCCACAGATCAAGCCCATTGGAGGAAACATCATGGCTCATGCTTCCACAACTAGGTGAGCTACACCAAGTAACATAACATCTCCATTTTATTTTTGTTCAGTTACTCATTGTCTCAAGTGTGTCGTGTTTCGTATCAGGCTCTTTCTTCGCAAGGGAAGAGGGGAGGAGCGGATCTGTAAAGTAGTCAGCTCACCCTGTCTTGCTGAAGCTGAAGCAAGGTTTCAAATATCATCTGAGGGTGTCACTGATGTCAAGGATTGAAAGCATCTCTGCATTTGCAGCCCATAGCATAACTTGCCCACTCGAACAAATCTCTGGTCTGCTGGATTCATGTTGGTCCCTTGTACAATCAAAATGCCAGTGCAGGCTTCCAGAATGGGAATGCAAATCCGTTGGACTGGCATTGTCATCCTGTTGTCTCAGGTACCATCCAAAGTTGTCCTTGTTGTAAAGTGCATATCCTTAGTGTGTCCAAATGATATATGTACAGACAACCAGCCACAATTTAGCAACTCATCATGCTGCATGCATCCATGTTCTCTTTCAATGTACTTGCCTTGATGCCAATTAGTTGATTTTGTTTTGTTGTACTGCTCTGAACCAGAGATCACAAACCGTTGAATACCAACATTTGGCTTGTTCGGTTCTTAACTTATGTAAATTAAGTTTTCAGGATACATAGAAGTATATGGTCATTTTTAAGGTACTGTTTAACTGTCCGCAATTAGCAAAAGTATTATCTCCTTGCATAGAGCTGTTGGCATTGATCATCAGAGTCCCAGTTCTATGGAGTAATTCTGTAATTCAACAGTTATCATCCTACCATGCATTACCATTCTTGCTACATTTATCTGAACTCTGCAGCTACAATGTAAAACTACAATGGTGAAAAATAGAGTAAAGTCCGGTTCACCCCCGCTGAACCAGTTGCTGAGTTTGAAAGACCACCTCCAATTTCAATACCGGACAACATACACATCTTAAATTTAAAAACCGGACAAAGTATCCCCCCCCCCTCTTACCATTTCGAAGTGCTTTCCTGGGTGTGAAAAACATAACATTTCCATATGAAGTCGTATGAATACATACTTTATATAGATTGACACGATCTACAACTTTGTAGTTGAGATTTTTTTTATTTTTAATACTTTTTAAAAACTATTTTCAAATATGACACTGTTTTTTTTCTTCAAAACTAACACTTTTGGCCGCGTCTATTCGCATGTCGCGGCGAAATCATGTTGCCGCACCATGCATGGGGGCGCGGTAGGAGCGGCGACGTGGCAGCGACCAGGGCCGCTGAACGCTGACGTGGCCGGGGCTACCGCGCCGTGGATTTGGGCGCGGCACTGACGCGCCACGGCGCATGGCGCGGCAAGCCGCTGTTCATTTTCAAAAAGAAGTTCCGCTGTTCATTTTCAGTTTTCCACCCAAGCCGCATGGACATGAACACATGGCTAGATGTAGGCCTGGGGGACTGGCGGGTTGGACTTGGGACAAGACGGGCCGGACTTGGCTCCCCTGACTTGTCCTGTTGATGTTTCAGCGGCCAGCAGCCCTACCTCTAGCCGTAAGAAAATGGACAAGTCAGGGGAGCCAAGTCCGTCCTGTCCACAGCGGCCAGCGGCCCTAAGAAAATAAACAAGTCAGGGGAGCCAAGTCCGTCCTGTCTTGTCCCAAGTCCAACCCGCCGGTCCCCCGGCCCTACCTCTAGCCATGTGTTCATGTCCATGCGGCTTGGGTAGAAAACTAAAAATGAACAGCGGCACTTCTTTTTGAAAATGAACAACGGCTTGCCGCGCCATGTGCCGTGGTGTGTCAGTGCCGCGCCAAGATCCGTAGCGCGGCAGACTCGGCCACGTCAGCGTTCAGCGGCCCTGGTCACTGCCACGTCGCCGCTCCTACCGCGCCCCCCATGCATGACGCGGCAACGTGATTTCGCCGCGCCATGCGAATAGGCGTGGCCAAAAGTGTTAGTTTTGAAAAAAAAAACAATGTCATATTTGAAAATAGTTTTAAAAATAAAAAATCATAGTTGATAAGTTTTTAATTGAAGATCTTTTAGAGGCTCAAATATTTGTTTTAAGTTACTAGATTTTAAAATTCATTTGATTTTTTCAAAGGACCTCGGATGTTGACATAATCTATACCAAAATTGTAGTTCCCAGTAAGATCTACAACTTTGTAGTTAATAACTTTTTTACCTGAGATTGTTAGAGGCCCAAATGTTTAAGTTCTCTAATTTTGATTTTTTTTTCAAACAACTTCGGATGTTGATGTAATCTACACTAAAGTGATAGCTCTCAATATGTTCTACATATTTGTAGCTGATAATATTTTTTAGAGCTCTACAACATTAGATAAGAGATCAGATCTTCGGTATCCTTCTAGAATATGGCGAGGACAGACCAATTTATTTGCATAGTGGTGCTGCTGACGACGCGGACATCAATGGCAATGATGGAATGAGCTTGGGCGCAGAAGTGTTATGAGCAGCACGGAAGCAAGTTCAAGTGAAACACACGTTTACAGGCTTGGGCTCGAAATGGTGTTGCATTGGCTCACGGTTGGTTAGTTCCATTGTTTCTTGGTTGATGAGCGAATGAAGATTCTCCGCTCTAATTGCCATGTAGACGCGACCAAATTATAATTTCTTCAAGTATGTACCTCTGGTAGTTTAATTTATCACCTCAGATATATCATTTAGTAACCTCATGCGTCGGCTCTTTGGAATCTGGAATAGTGCCAATATTGTTTTTGCCTTGCATTGAACTGTTCGGATCTATCAATAGGCCAGATGCACATAGGAATACGAGGTTCTGAAAAATTGATTTCCATGATTTAGTCGTTTAGCATTATAATTTGATATGTTTTGAAGCACATATGCAGGGCATCAAAAGCTGCAATATGATGTTTTGTCACCTCCTATCAAGAATTTCTTAATCTGTAATTCTGTATAGCCTGCTAGTTGTTGAAAATTCTAATGCTAGACTTCTGCTTCCCAGAAAAAAGTGACAGTGGGGTGCACTAGCTTGCTTTGCAGAAAGCCTCGAGTAGGCTGTTGAAGTGGAAGTAGTCGATATCACAACGGGAATGGAGCCGCCAAGTTGTGTGTGTTCACAAACCTGTTACAGCTACCAACAGCTTTTTCGCTTGCTCGTATCTGACTTATAAGCCATGACTTATCAGCCAACGAACAGTATTTTTCTCTCACACCAAACCAGCCAACAATACTTTCAATCGTGACTTATAAGTTAAACCAGCCCAAACAAACAACAAGTTGGCTCCACTGGGATTTACTGCTAGTGCGCTAGCCAACTCCAAGCCGAGAGGGTTGAGGGCATCCAAGTTACAACTGAGTCAAGAGAGGCTTGATCAAATTTTAGAGGCTTGAGATCATCCAAATTGTCTTCATGCTGTCCGCCCTTATTATCTTCAGAGCAGGAGTTCAAACTTGAAACTGAGACGTTTTTTTCCCAGTCAGGAAAGAGCACTAGTGCAGTGATAGCCACGCAAGCACCGGGGATTTAATTTCTGATCATCGCTGCGCACCTGCCATCATCTTTGTGCAAAGCTTTCATCCATGCAGCATCTCCTGTTGAGCGTGCGCCTAGCTAGCTTCAAAGCTCAGACTCAAAACTTACTTCTGTGTGTTGCAAGCATTGAAGGATATGATTCAGAGAAAGCGAGCAGACTGGTCTCTCGATTTTGCCATCTCAATCCAATCACTTGGGAATGTTCATATCAGTAACTTTGTCACTGACGACGAGCCCGGCACCACGACCCCTTGTGGCTGGTGCTCCACTAATTTAAACCTCGGTGTCCAAGAAACCTGCAATAGCTTGAGTACCAACCTGCTGTTCCCCTCACTGACATGCGATTATATTGGACCCATTGTGAGGGAACATCCTTGATTCTCTCTTCTTTTATTTACTCAAAGTTGCTGCCAGCCAGGTGCGTTCTTCTTCCTCCCTACTCCATTGTGCGCTCTTCTTTTAATAATTATTATTATCCGATACCAAAGCAAGTCCATTCTCCCCTTCCACCCATAAAGCAGATTCGCTGATAAAGAAAAGGTTACTACTACTCGCATTTGTTTGTTCCCATTTTGCTCAGAACAAGTCTTGCAAGCCCATTCCTCCTCTTGCACCCTGCAACCGTGTTTCGCTGCACCCTGCAGCCAGCGCGTGTGTTGTGTTGAGAGTTGTAGGCGCTCCGATGGCTGAGCTGATGGCCACCATGGTGGTCGGCCCTCTTGTGTCCATGGTGAAGGAGAAGGTCTCCAGCTACCTCCTGGACCAGTACAACGTCATGGAGGGCATATGGAGGAGCAGCACGAGACCCTCAAACGCAAGCTGCTGGCCATCCTGGACGTCATCAACGACGCCGAGGAGCAGGCAGCAGCCCACAGACAAGGGGCCAAAGCTTGGCTCGAGGCGCTTCGGAAGGTGGCCTACCAGGCGAGTGATGTCTTCGATGAGTTCAAGTACGAGGCACTCCGCCGTGAAGCCAAGAAGAAGGGGCACTACAAGAAGCTTGGGTTCGATGTGATAAAGCTCTTTCCTACTCACAACCGTGTTGTGTTCCGTTACAGGATGGGCAACAAGCTCCGCATGATTCTGAATGCGATTGAAGTCCTCATCACAGAGATGCATGCCTTTAGATTCAAATTCCGACCACAGCCGCCAATGCCTAAGAGCTGGAGGCACACGGAATCTGACATCATCGATCTTAAGGAATTTGCTAGCCAATCAAGATACAAAGAGAAGAATGAGGTCGTTAACAAATTGATTGGTCAAGCGAGCAATTTGGAGCTAACCGTCCTTCCCATAGTTGGAATGGGGGGACTGGGCAAGACCACCTTAGCTCAGCTCGTGTACAATGATCCCGGAATTCAAAAGCATTTTCAGCTGCAACTCTGGGTATGTGTCTCTGACAACTTTGAAGTTGATACCTTGGCTAAAACTATAGTTGAAGAAAATGCAAAAGGGAAGAACAACATCGATACTAGGGGACAATCACCATTGGATAGCCTTAAGGAAGTAGTGAGCGGGAAGAGGTACCTTCTCGTCTTGGATGATGTATGGAACCGTGATGCTAACAAGTGGGGAAAGCTGAAGTCCTGCCTTCAATATGGTGGCAATGGTAGTGCAGTGCTTACAACAACTCGTGATAATGTTGTTGCTGAATTGATGTGTACAACTGAAGCATATAGCCTCAAAAGCTTGGAGCAAAGATTCATAATGGAAATTATAATGGCAAGATCATTTAGTTCAAAAAGGGAACCAGATGCTAAGCTTGTTAAGATGGTTGGTGATATTGCCATGAGATGTGCTGGATCTCCTTTAGCAGCTACAGCAGTGATCTCTCTGCTTCGTACCAAGACCAATGTGGAAGAATGGAGTGCTATATTAAGCAAAAGCACCATTTGCGATGACGAGACTGGAATTTTACCAATACTCAAGCTCAGCTATAATGGGTTGCCATCACACATGAGGCAATGCTTTGCTTTATGTGCTATTTTCCCCAAGGATTATGAGATAGATGTGGAAAAGCTAATTCAATTATGGATGGCTAATGGTTTTATCCCAGAACAACATGGAGTGTGTCCTGAGATTACTGGTAAACAAATCTTCATGGACCTGGTGTCAAGGTCATTTTTTCAAGATGTCAAGGAAGTCCCATTTGAAGTCCATAAGACATGGCTTCCTAGAATTACTTGCAAGATTCATGATCTGCATGATGTTGCACAGTCTTCTATGGGAACAGAATGTGCTACCATAGTTATAGAGCTGAGTCAAAGTGAGAAATTTCCATATTCCGCTCGACATTTATTTATATCTGTTGATAGACCAGAAAAGATTCTGAATTGTTCTCTAGAGAAAGGATCTATGGCTGTGCAAACACTGATATGCAATGGATATGCAGATGAAGATTTGAAGCATTTATCAAAATACAGATCCATCCGTGCACTAAGTATCTGCCAAGGTTCATTCTTGAAACCAAAGTATCTACATCACCTGAGGTACCTTGATCTCTCGTCTAGTGATATTGAAGCACTTCCTGAAGAAATAAGCATCTTATATAATCTTGAGACACTGGACCTTTCATGGTGCTGCTGTTTGAATCGACTTCCAAAGGAAATGAAGTATATGACTGGCCTCCGTCACTTGTATATTGATGAATGTAATCAGTTAAGGAGCATGCCCTCAGAGTTGGGACACCTCACTTCCCTACAGACGCTTACATGGTTTGTAGCAGGTACTGGCTCTGGTTGCAGTAAGGTGAGAGAGCTTTGTCAGTTAGACCAGCTTGGTGGTTCACTAGAGCTAAGGCAACTAGAGAATGTGACAGAAGCAGATGCGAAAGCAGCACATCTTGGGAACAAGAAAGAGCTAACCATGTTGGCATTAAGATGGACGTCTACTCTAGAAAAGGTGCTGGAGGCCCTCAAGCCTCATGAAGGGCTGATGGTTGTACGTATAAATGGCTATAGGGGTGGCACTTATCCAACATGGATGAATACATTGCAACAAATGGTGAAGCTTAAGCTACGGAACTGCGAGAATGTCAAGGAGCTTCCTCCACTGTGGCAGTTACCAGCTCTACAGGTTCTCAGCTTGCGGGGATTGCAAAGTCTTAGTTGCCTGTACAGCGGCGATGCACCTGTCACAGCATTTAAGAAACTGAAGGAGCTTTCATTGAGCGAGATGCCAAACTTTGATACATGGTGGCTCAATGAAGTACAAGGGGAGGAGTCAATATTTCCTCAGGTTGACAAGTTATTCATATTCGATTGCGAAAGGCTGACTGAACTGCCGAAAGCGTCACTGATTATGGAACCGCGGCCACCATGCGGAATTAATACTGTGTGGCGCTCATCATTTCCAGCACTAAAGGAACTAGTATTAGACTAATTTGCCAACCTTTCAGAGATGGGAGGCAGTCCAAGGAACTCTAGGAGAAGAGGTGACATTTCCTCGGCTTAAGAAGCTAACAATTCAGTCCTGCAGAGAATTGTCTACTCTCCCTGAAGCACCAAATCTGAGTGAATTAGTGATCAGGCAAGGCAGTCAACAAATGCTCGTACAGGTAGGAAGATACGTCACTTCATCGTTGTCCAGACTGGTGTTGTGGATTGATGACAACAGAGAAGCAACATGGCTGGGTGGTGACAGCTTGATTCAACTGGTGGATGGCAATGAGAAACGGAATCACAATAAATCCCCTTGCCCTCTCACAGTTATGGCGTTGTGTGGGTGCAACATTTTCTTCTCTCACTCAAGTGCTCCGGAGCTTTGGGCATGTTTAGTGAGCTTGAAGATTTGAAAATTAGAGGATGCAATGCTCTCGTCCACTGGCCAGAGGAAGTGTTCCAGAGCCTGAAATCCTTGAGGAAGTTAGAAATTTGGGAATGCAACAATCTAGCAGGACGCAGATTCGCTTCTCCCGAACGGAGCAGTGTACTACTCCCACGCCTGGAGTCTCTGGATATACAAAATTGTGCAAGTTTGGTAGTCCTAAGGTCAAGTTCATCGCATTCAGTAAGGAGCTAGATACTAGTACGAAGTTGGCGAGTGCACAAGGTGTTGCAGCAGAGGACGACAAATCAGCATTAGTTCTAGGGTCAGGGTCCTGCAGCGACGCCACGGCATCCACACCAGTTCCTAAGCTGTCATCATCAACCAAAGATCACTTCCTTCCTTGTCTAGAATCTCTAATAATAGAGTACTGCAATGGCTTGTCAGAGGTTCTTGATCTTCCTCCTTCCATCAATACTTTTGTAATCAGTGGGTGCAGCGATCTTCGAGCCCTTTCAGGGAAGCTGGATGCCGTCCAAAAATTAAGTATTGCGGACTGCAGTAGATTGAAATCACTGGAATCTTTCTTAGGAGAGCTTGCATTGCTGGAAGAGCTCCATCTTAATAGTTGCCAAAGCCTGGTGTCGTTACCGAATGGCCCTCAAGCATGCTCATCTCTCAGGCATCTTACTATCAAGTCTTGTCCGGGTATAAAGTTGCTTCCCGAGAGCCTATATCAACGACTGGGCGATCTCAAGGACAAGGACAAACGACTAGATGCCCGTTATGAAGGTAACCTTCAATTTCTCTTGTGTTTTTTTTAATGATATATCCAAAAGATCAATTGGTGTAGAAAAAAACTACTCCCTACATTCTAATTTACAGATCATTTTAGCTTTCCTAGACATATAACTTTCACTACATATATAGACATATAACTTTCACTAAATATATAGACATATCGTATATTTAGGTGTATAGCAAAAACTACGTACCTAAAAAAAACCCAAAATGACTTATATTTGGGATGGAGGGTGTACGTACTAACTATTGACTTACTCACTATATTAGCCACAAGTTATGTTATGCCTCAGCGGTGAAAATCAATGCGTGCATTTTTTTTAGTATTTTGTTCTGGACTATTAGTTGAAATCAGATAGTTAACCCAACTTTATTTTACTCAATAAAACACGATGTACTAGATTAGTGCGGTCAAATTGTGTTAGTATGGACTGTACATATTCCCTAGAATATAGAAGTACAGGTGATACTTTCATGTACTTTTATCTCTGATTTTTACTGACTGTCCATCTAAAATAGGTAATTAGTAAAATTAAACATATGTAGCTAAAGGCAGTGTGCCAATTGCTCTTCCCACAGTAAGAGCAAGGTCAATAATAGAGCCAATGCTCGACTATAAGTTAAGTCATAAGAGCTAAGCTATACAATAGTTAGTCTTCTATTTGTCTATAAACTTTTTTATTGTTATATGTTTTCATTCTATTTTCTATTCCTCCTCACGTACATCTCTATTAGGACCAACTATTGTCTATGCTTTCATGCCCAGCTTATTACTTGCATGAGAGACAAGCTATCTTCTCTCTCCTCCCTTTTATTGTTGTACTTGCTCTAACTACTACCAGAATGGCTCATCAGCCACACATTTCAGAGCTCGTGGACCCCACTTGTGGGCAGCATGTTGGTCTGGCAGTCTGGCGTGCCACTACAAGAATTAAGGCTTTACAAGACGAATTACTTTGGTTATAGACAGTCGAAAACGCGTCAAGGTTAACTTGCCATGACAATAAAAAACACATCATATATCTCGCGTCATACATTTGCTGGACTGAATTGAGCCGTCATATATTGCCATTTGAGTTCGCCATGGATTAGTTGTCCATCTATTATACCTAGTCCATATCCAAGCCTAGATCCAAACCATAGTGACGAAAAAGAACATTACAAATTAGTGCGCATATCCAAGCCTAGATCCAAACCATAGTGACGAAAAAGAACATCATAAATTAGTGCGAATCATCCCTGCATTGACATTCAGCACATCTCATAATACACCAATCATACAAACAAACCTTGATTCTTTCATTTATTGGCACGTCCACTGTTGTCACATATAGTTTGAGGACAATCAATTTACAGAAACTAACAAATACGTCTGGACTAAGATTTCATCTCTAGAGAGTCTAAAACAAACAAACAGTAGTATTCATGATTCTACGAGTACTTCAATTGGCTTGCTTTCAATTGGCTTGTCCATATGATGTGCTACCGAGCACCTCCATAAGCTATCTGAAAATCAATATGAATATTAGTTTTGAGCAAAGATTCTAAAAACAACTGAAAATCAATATGAATATGAAATAAGTTAGTTTTGAGCAAAAATTCTAAAAACAAATGCCATCTATTTATTAGGAAGTTTTGTGTCGGTGTTTCGAGTAAACACCAACGAGTAAATTTGTATTATTGCTCGTCTAGCCCGGATGGTGTGCTAAGAGGACACAAGGATTATACTGGTTCGGACTGAATGTCCCAACGTCTAGTTTTGGGCTACTCATGTTACTAGCACTGAGTTCGTAGTAGGGGGTTACAAACTGTCGAGAGAGGGACAGGTCCCAAGTCTCTGGTGGAAAGAATGAAAGGGTGCCGAGAGCTCGACTGCTGCTCAGCTATGTGTTCGAGGCTCGATGCTAGTGGTTTTTGGTGTGATGCAGTGCGATATGTGATGTGATGAACCGATGCCCCTTAGCGGGACGTCCTGCTTTTCCTTTTATAGGACAAGGGAAAGTACAGGTTACAAATGGGAGAAAATAGGAGAACAAGAGGCGGAGGAAGTCCTTCAGGGTCGCCGGCCTTTCTTTTCCTCCGTGCGGGCCCCGCTAACATGGCAGGTGGCGACAGGGATAGCCCCACGCGGGGTGCCTGTCTGCTGACACTGCCATGCCCTAGCATTTGCCAGCGGGTCGTAACGTCCCGCTTCGCCCCGGCGGGCGGTGCGGCGAACCAGCATGCTGGTCAGCGGCTGTATAGGGAGTGGGCAGCATAGCGACCACGCGTCCATCACTGTAGGCGATGTGAGTTCCCTAGAATGACATGTCGTGGGGACGGGTCGTGCTGAGATGCTACTGCTCCCAGCACGCTGCCAGAAGTTTGACCTTTGGTAGAACTTTCTAGCCCATAGTGGTTGGCGGCGACGTGAGCTTCCGTTAGGAACCGTGTTCGAGGGATCGGGCAAAGCGGAGCCAGCCCTCAGACGTCGGGCGAGGCGAAGCTAGCCCTCAGACGTCAGGCGAGGCGGAGCCAACCCTCGGGGGTCGGACGAGGCTGAGCCAATCCTCGAGAGTCAGTTGAGGCGTACCAAACCCTCGGGGGTCGGGCGAGATGGAGCCAGCCCCCATACGTCGGGCAAGGCGGAGCCAACCCTCGGGGGTCGGACGAGGCCGAGCCAACCCTTGGGAGTCAGCCAAGGCGTACCCAACCCTCAGGGGTTGGACAAGGCAGAGCCCATGGCCTTAGTGTCCACTGAGGCAGAGCCAACCCTCGGGGGTCGGACGTGGCGGAGTCCATGCCCTTGTTGATCGGACGAGGTGGAGCCCACCAAGAGGTGTAGTCGCATTCTTGACCGCCCTGATGAATTAGCGTTGATGGATATTAGCTTCTCCTCTTCGGGTACCCTAGTATTGGTCCCCGACAGTAGCCCCCGAGCCCCCGGGTGATTCGGGTAGAATCGCCTAGGGGATTTTTCGACTTGCCAGTAGGTGCGCGCGAGCGCACCCGGTGGGTGTAGCTCCTAAGCTTGCGGAGGAGTAGAATACTCCTTCGGAGGTTTTTTCGAAAGGGAGGACTCTGAGGGCCCTGGCCTTCCTTTGTCGCCCACAGCGTGTCCTGGGAACGGTGATTCCTTCTTGTCGAGGTCGGACCCTTCACGGGTATGGCCGTGAGATTTGGTGGTTCGTTAGCTGGATAGTTCGATTGGTGTCTCGGCGTCCTGTTCGCGGGGATCCGGCCAGGGTCAGCCTGGCTGAGACTCAATCGAGGGCCGAGATGCCCGTGGCGCTCGTGCGCCTGAGTACTGGCCGCTTGCGGGCCCATCTCTTATCCTAAGGGTGCTTGGAGTGGTTGTCGAACCCATTTATGGGCGTAACCTTTGAACTCCTAGGCCGAGACGGGCTGATGAGTACAGGCCCGATCTTCCGAGAGGTAGCCGGTAAGTTCGATTTGTGGAGATCTCGACGTTGGCGATCCGGCTTCAAATCAGACACGATTCGAACCCTGCAACCGTTACACCACCGCTCTGTTGGTTATCAACCAAGCACAACTTGATTGACCTCGCCAAGAAGGCTTTTCCTGCAAGCGAATCGAAGAGCACAAGCAAGAAGGTAAAACACGCAATCTGAAATTGCAAATATGAATGACGCGAATATCAATAGAGGGTTCAAGAACTCGGTTCCAAAGGACTAATCGACACAGTGGAGGAGATCAAGAACGGGGGCCCTGGATCACTTTAAAAGGATTTGTCACCACAGTTACAATGAACGATTCAGTTTCTCGATGGAAAACTAAACTCTAAACAAAACCCAATTGTGTAGCAGCGGCGGCGGCTGTGTTTATAGTCTAAGACTCGACCTAGGGTTGGGGACGGCCAGGGGTTGGGCGCCCACAACTTGGGCTTAAGGCCCGACATGATACATGGCCAAGTTGGCCCAAATAGGTGACGCAGCACCTTGTCGTGGTCACACAGAATGATCCACGGACCTTCTGGAGCTGGGACCAGATCCAAAACGACGGCGTTGTCGTCCCCTTTCCAACACATCCAAGAACGGCCCGTTTCGACGTCGTATGAGGAAGTTATGACCGAAATAGTGACGACGTGTCTGCTGAATCCGAGGGTGACGTGGCAGCTGAGTTGGGAATGAATTGCAACTTGGGGAAGACCATGGCGTCGGTGTGTCCAGCGTGGCGATGTCCTCATCACGGGCCGTAGGGGTGTTTTTTTATCTGTACGACGAGTCGCAGCCTGCCCGGGGAGGCGAAACGTCCGGCGGGTCTTCTGAGGGGAAGGATAGGGATTGCGTGCGCATATCCCGTGGCGTGATGTTGTGGCAGATCATGGTGGGCGCGGAGATCTAGGCGGACGGTTGGTTTCCTCGCATCTGTCGCTCCTATAAAACCAAAGGGTTCGTCCCCAGGGTTTCATACCATGCCTTCTTGCCTTCGCATCTGCAACCTCCGTCGCCAATCACCTAGGCTTCTCGCACCTGTGAGTCAGCCGCCGTTGAGCTTGCATCCACCCATCCCCATCTTCCAATGGGTCTGTGGTGCCACTCTGACATCACCTTCTAGTGCTTGGAGGGCCTTGTACGCCGTGGTCTTCTTTGTGCGCGGACCATGACCGAGGAGTGGCTGCTGCCCGGCGAGGAGGACGTGTCGTCACTGCCCTATGGCTACGTCATCTCGTTCGCACACTTCCATGAGCGGGGGTTTGCTACCCTGCTCACAGATTTCTTCGGGGGCTGCTGCACTATTACCAGATCGAGTTGCAGCACCTCAATCCCAACGGAATCTAGCACATGGTGGCGTTCGTCTACCTATGTGAGAGATTCCTAGGGATCAGTCCCCACTTTGATCTGTGGCGGCACTTCTTCATCGTCACCCTCTAGAAGAAGAGGGTGAAGAAGCAGGAGCTAAACACGCCGATGGGATGCGCCGGCATCCACCTTCGGAACAACTAGGTCGGCGAGTACCCATCGATGCGTCTGTCGACCTCCAACAAGGGGCGGCATTCGTATTGGTTTTATCTCAAGAAGGA